TCAGACGTGTGCTCTTGCATTTCTATATGTATATGTATATATGTATGTATGAATGATGGATACATATGAATGTATGATGAATACACACATAAATATGCACGCACGAACGCACATACACACTCGCACACATACATACACCCTCATTTGCTCCACTCTGGGCCCTTGAGCAAGGCCCTTAACTCCCATCTTCTCCCCCAGGCACCCTAGATGCAGCTCTCTGCTCCACACATGTGGTAGCTCGATGGTCTGTGGTTGCGTCAGGAAGGGTATAAAAATAAATGCCAAGTCTTCGTGCGACTCAGTTCGCTGCGGTGATCACTAATGAAAGGAGCAGCCAAAAGAAAACAAAAGTATTGTCACCACTGCAGCGTGCAACAGTTTTGCAAAAGCTTGATTAGAAACAATACAAACTAAATACAATTGATCATGTAAGTTGCAAAAATTGATCAGTGCGCACCAAAACCAATATTTTGCAAATGCACACAACACAACTTTTGCACTTTATGAGAAACGGGATATTTGGTGCATTCCAAGGTTAATTCATTCTTGCAAAAATATTAGCACCTGAAGGCAATTTAGAACTAACAATTATGTAACTTACAAACTTTGCCAGTGATCTGTAACATCAACAAACCATCAGCCGGTCTGGTTTAAACCTGGGACCTTCATGCTGCAAACATGACTGTTATGACCCTTCTTTTATGAAAGCATCATCAGTTCTTTCTATCTGATTTAAACTTGTTAAAACCTGTTCTTTACCAACAGTGGCCTAAGCATGAACTCTAAAATCAGGACAGGAAAAAAATAGGAACCAAATGTGTTTAGGCCAACATATAAAAATCTCACAAAGTGCTTAAATAGCTTTCAGTTGTCTGACAAATCACCCTGTTGTTCACACACTCGGACAAACAAAGTAGATAATTATGGTGTTTTGGAGGGGAATTTTTTTATTTAATTTTGCATGACAAGTTAATTTCTGGGAATTCACACCTTCAACACAAAGGCAGCTGTCTCAGATGGCCTCAGGGTGGCGCAGGGGTTCTTTTATTTTTTACGCATGAAGTACTCATGGCACATCTGGGTGACGCAACACACCAGGTTGACAAACTCACTGAAGTCCACACTGTTGCTCTTGTTGGTGTCCAGGTCCTTGAAAATGCGGTCGATTGCTTCCTTGTCATTGGCTTTCTGCAGGAAAGAAACACGTTAGCCTGATTTTTATTTATTTATTATTTGCATCAGCTTTGCAAAAACCTCAACATTGCATTGGGTTAGTTATTTTCAATATGCATATGCATACGTTTGCAAAAGTTTACAAAGCTGCAGACTTGTGTTTGCTCGGATTCTACTGGGTGTGTGCAAGACAGAGAAAGAGTGAGGTCAGAGGTCACGTACACACAGCAGATCTCCGAATTCATTCTGCAGAAGCTCTTTCAGCTCCTCCTTGTTCAGAGTGTCCTTGTCTCCCTCCTTACTTGCGTATCTTGTGAAGGCGGTGATGAGGAGGGCCATGGCGTTCTGGATATCAGACATGATGATGGCTTGTCTAAGAGAGCAGGGAAATTTACAACCAAAAAGTTCATTTTTGTTTTAAATCTCAAGTTTCACTAGTTTATCTAAAAGATCTCAGATATAGTTTGTTATCACTGCCCACGTCTTTATTGTTGTTTTTCTTACAGTTTTCCATTGAACTGGCTAAAAATAATCCCTGGGTTTCCACCGGGGCCCCTTTGTTCCTACTTCATTCTGTTCCTGGTCCCTAAAGCAACGTCTCTGCAGCGACATGGGACACTGTTGTGGAAAATGATATCTCAGATGAACAGCTGCAGGTAATGAAGAAGATCAAGACCTGAACGGAGCAGTTCTAGTGATTCCAGTAGTTTGTTCTCATTGAAAAAAAAAAAATCATAAATTGTCCAATTAATGTTTTATAATTTGTTATTTCCCCCTTAGTTCATTAATGTGTGGTTGCATTGTGACTCAGATGCTGTTTCCTCCCTGGAGCACGGTTAGCGGTGAAAACTGTGGCGTCAGAGGGTTCGTAAACAGATGGGAATTGTGGAGGAAGAGAGAAAGCACAGAACCAGAAACTATGTTCAGCTGTTTCCACTTTGCGTTGCCCCTGATGCATTTATTTTTGTGTTATTATGGGCATAAAAAACAAAAAAAAAATCCTTAAATTCTATAAAATAAAACAAGAAGTGTGGTAATAATTTTGAATTCGTGGCATAGAGCTGATCAATAAGACTAGAAATATTTGTTGTTGCATTTAACATTTCACAATTCATCTGTTTACAACTAAAAATAATTGTGCTAAGTTTAGAATGTGCAGTTGTCAGTAAAATATCCACCGTATTTATGGTTACTCAATTCGTCCGCACAAATATTGCCTGAAATGAGATGCTCTGAAAAAAACGGAACAACTAGAATAAGTTTCCATTAAACATTAGTAGCTAAAACTAGACAAAATAAACGTTTATTTATTTTTCTACTCACCAAAGGTTGAGATTTCAGAGTGACAATCAGTTCATGAGGAGTGACGGAGAGGCGGATGTGAGGGATGCTTTATACCTCACCACACCCTGAATCCCTGCCTCCACACCGCTCCGCTCATCCTCAACCACTCCTCCCGCTACATTGTTCTTTCTTTATTTTCCAAATGATTCTTTAATCGTTTATATTATTTTTTTAATAGGTGCATAGTTGCATTTAAGAATAAATATGAACTACCGTATTTTTCGGACTATAAGGCGCACTTAGACTCCTTTAATTTTCTCAAAAATTGACAGTGAGCCTTAAAATCATGTGTTCCTGATCTATTAATTCTGGTTGTGCTTACTGACCTCGAACCGATTTTGAACAATGTTGAGAGTTATCAGAATATAAGCTTTATTGATGTTGTACTGAGATACAGCGAGAATATGTTCGTACAGTCGTCCGAAAGATGGGCGAAGTGCGATTCTCACAAGTCACTTCCATCTTATGGTTTAGCTTGTAAATCAGCTGATTTTGAGTCCTCAAAGCACAAACCAAACATTCACAAGGAAGGCAGCCTGACAAGGGCCAAATTATCTACAGCTGTCTTCTTGTATGGTGATAAACCAGGAACCAGCTGATTCCAAAAAGCATGAAACCTGTTATCATAAATCCGATTGTATACTTCTTTTTTTCATTCAACCTTTATTTAGACAGGTAAATCCCACTGAGCCTCGAGGACTCATTTTCAAGAGAGACCTGATTTCAACAAAGAATAATGACAACAATGGACAACAGCGACAACAATAGACAGTTATAAAAAGGCATACAGATTTTTTATTTTTTTTTACAAATAAGATGGCAAAAAGACGTCTTTGGCGTCCTCCTGACATTCTCAGCGGGACATGAGGGCTCTCCAGAACCCCGTCGCTTTGTTGAACAGGTTTTGTCGATTGCGTTGTAAGTCCAGCTGACCAGATCCATAACAGTAGTTTTCGTTTTGGAAGATGTGTAAAATAGGAGCTCCGATACACAGACAGAGAGCAAAAAAGCAGCAGGAGAATAGGAGAGAGAAGAGAATGTGTCCGCCTCGTACGAGAGCGAGTGAGAAAAAGTCGTGAATGAGTTGAAAAAAAAAAAGTTGTGAATGAGTTGAATAAAGTTTGACTTATCTGACTGTTTTGTTTCGCTTAATGCGCCTTATAATCCGGTGCACCTCATAGTCCGAAAAATACGGTACTACAAGTTTATTTTTGAGTTGCATGTTTTCTAATAGTCCACTTCATTCATTAATTGCGTCATAAAATGTTTGTTTCTTCAAGACTCATGTTTTGTAAGTTTATTTAAAAAAAAAACTCAATATTTTTGTGGTAATGTTCAAATTTAACTAAAGTTTATTTTTATAGCCTTTATCTTCTTTAACAAAAATCACAGTTTGTGCTAACTTTTTAAGTGAAGTGCCTTGCAGATACATGACATTCATAAGTTAATAATTAGACATTTATATATCATAACTTATGGTTACCGTTGTGCATGCCAATGCTATTTGTGTGTAACATCCTGAGCAAAACTTTATGACTTGTTGACCAAATATACTGCATGCCAACGACAAAAAAGATCTGCGTTAAAAAGATTTAAGCTCAATTTCTCTGTGTTTCTATTACAGAACACCTGTTTTGTGTTACTTTATAGTGTTCTGTGTTTATAGTGAGCTTTCCCACTAACTGTATGTACTCGTTTGAGAGGCGTGTGAGTCTAAAGTGAAAACACCGGGCACACTGACTCATGTGTGCAGATTGTTAAAGCCCCAAGTGGCTCCACTCTTCCTTACAATTTTGTGAGGTTAGAAAATAAAAGCTCTGGCAACTTGGTTTGTTTCTTTATGAGCGTGTGGTCTGTTTGTCAGTCTCTTGTCTTCAGGTCAGAATATAATAGATTGAGTCTTTAATTCAATTTAAGCAACCCCAGTTAAAAACAGGTCATTGTTATATTCTATCATGATTTTTTTCCCCACATCTTTTCTGAGTGGAAACAGTTTGTCAGTCTTTGTTGTGTCGTCTCTCCGTGACTCAGAAGAACCAGACTAGGAGGAAGCAACCATGGAAACCATCATATTTATCAAAATATAAACAGATTTCAGCCATGAGAAGACATGTTTGCTAATGGTTTTTAAATAGAATATTCATACCCAACATTTAAAATATAATTATAATACAATTTTAACTGTGATCTGGTGCCATCTAGTGGCCAAAAAGCCTAAAGTCGCTTCAGTTTGTTGATTTGGACCTGAAACTAATAAAACTCCATCCATCCATTATCTTTGCTCACTTATATCTTTTTTGGGTCACTGGTGCCCATGTCCAGCAGTCACTGTGTGAGAGGCGGGGGACACCCTGGACAGGTCCAAGTCCATCACAGGGACAAATAGAGACAAATAAACATTCACTCTGTCACTCACATCTAGAGACAATTTAGAGTTACCAATCAGCCAAACATGAATGTTTGTGTGGGAGGAAACTGGGGTACCTGGAGAAAACCCACGCATGCATGGAGAGAACATGCAAACTCCACCCACCCCTGGCCGGGTTTCGAACTGACAACTTTTTTGCTGAGAAGCTGAGCTCTACCAACTGAGCCGCCCTGCATTTAAACAAGTTGTTTAAAAGATGTTTTTAGTTGGTAACAACCTTTCCGAATAAGTTTTTATTTTCACACAAAATTAAAACCTTTATGAAAGTTAGTAGATTTTTTTTTTCCCCTCACACTTTAGTTGAATGTGTTTTATTACAGTAGTTGTGCATATTTGACCATTTTTTGTAAAGGAAAACTAAAAGAAAACCAATCAATGCTGACAAGCAACCTGAATAGTTTTTTTAAACACTTGTGTCAGTATCAGCCTAAATTTGAAGTTTCAGTTTATTTTTTTGTTTGTTTTTAGCTAAAATTCTGCTACTTTTAGTTTTTGGCATTAAAATGTTAGCTTTTAGCCAGCTTTTAGTTAGCCTTTGGCCACTTTTAGCTCATAGTGATTCTTTTCATAAATTTAGCTAGCCTTATCTTTTTGCTTTTAATTTGAGTTTTACTACTTTTAGCTAGCATTTTGCTACATTTAGCTTCTACTGAGTGTTCTACTGTTTTCAGCTTTTAGGCAGAGTTCAACTGCTTGTATTTTTAAGCTTTTTTTTTTTGTTGTTCCTCTTAGTTTTTATTTAGTGTTAGTTTTAGCTTTAACAAATCTGTTTGAGATTTATTAAAATGTCAGCGGTCAATCGGGGCTCAGCATTCACACATTTTCACAGGAACATGCTCTTTCTTCTCTTTTTTTTCTTACATCCAGCAGACATCCATACATTTTGCAACATCCTTGACCATCTCAACGTTGTAATTTTGCAACAGACAAGTTTTAACTAGAACTGTGTAAAACGTTTCACATCTAGTTAAGTTCTTCTGGTACTTGATGCAGATTATTAAAAACTTTCTTGCAGTTCATATCAGCTAATTTTACTTTTGCTAATTCACACTTAATAGTAAAATAATACAGGATGCACTTCACCTATGATGTCAAACTTCCAGATGTTTGAGGATGTTCTAACGGAGAGCTTCTCTGCTTGTGTGTTTAAGTGAGGTGTGGTATGAAAACCCTGCAGCTCAAATACACACCCCGAGGAGGAATGCCTGGAGCAACAGTAAAAGCCAGAGCATGGAAGATTAGCTCATTAGGCAGGGCCTGAGGCTAAACTGTCAGCTCTTACTTATTATCCTTTTCTTCAAGTTTTGAGACTCTGGAAAATAACCCTGACCCTGATAAATGATTAAATAATTCTGTTGGAGCAGATGATAAGCACATAACATGCACTGTGCAGTTCTGCATGTTTCACTTCACTTCCATAAACTGTTAATTCTTTTAACACCAGGACTTAGTTTGATTAATGGCAGTGAAAACAACCATAAACGGTGAACAAAGCTGGATTTCCCATCACTATACTCAGCTGCGGGTCACATGGGCGTGGTGCTTCTATAAACACACACAGAGACACATACAGTCAGAGCATGGTAGCTATAGAAACTAAAGTGTTTGCTCTGTTTCCATGAGCACCAACCAAATCCCTCCCCACAATGATTCAGACACTTCCTCCCTGAGTGTAGTCTCTCAGGCTAAACATCTCATTTCTACACCACTGGCGCGTTTGTCCTTTAAGATATTCTTCACGTCTACGAATAAAAGCATGGGTTGATTGTTTGCATTGCTCATGGGTGAATCAGAAGTGTGGGAAGAGGGGCTGCTCTCCTGCAATTAGTGTGAGCCAACTTTTACCAGACATGAATCACAACGATAAGATTTTTGTGAGAAAGAACACAACACTGGACTGATGCAACACACCCTGTTCCTCTACCATGCACCAAAAGGCATGCTTAATGAAATCAAAGGCCTAGCTTTCCTTTAAGGAATGCATATCTCATGTCTCAGGAGTGGTAGACCTCGGAGAATGTGTTGACAATGACTCTCAGCTACTAACGCAACAAAATTTAGCTTGGTATCTGTAAACTCACATTGAAGCCAATATATCAAAGTTTAGTTGCTATTTGTGTAGTGCTGAAAGTGTTGGGGATAATGCTCAGCCACTTCCATAACTAAAATAAGCTAAATATTGTTGCATACTTACTTTATTTTTGTTGGTTTTCTAATGTCTGATAGCTGTGGCGGCCATCTTGAATTTGTCGTGCAGAAGATAACAGTTAGGTGTACAGTGATTATCTACTGCGAGATTTGTTAGATTTAGTCAAATGGCTCATGAGATATTTTGCTAACAAACACAGTTGATTGCAATAGTTCATGGCATACTTTGGGAAATAGATCAGTTAGCACTTAGCGTATGTGTTGGGGACTACTACCATCATCAATACTGCATTAAGTTTACGACAACTAAACTCAGTTTCTCCAAACTGAGATTGTTCAAACAGCTATCTGCAACCAGTGGTGGACAAAGTACTCAATTCTAGTACTTAAGTAAAAGTATTGATACTCATGGTCAAATTTTACTCAACTACAAGTAAAAGTTGCTCAGTCAAAAGTTTACTCAAGTTAAAGTACTGAAACACTTACTTTTGGAAATACTATTCAAAAGTACATGCATTTAAAAAATACTCAAGAATTTAAAAGTACAAATTATATTTTCTAATATCAGTACATTGCTGTATTGTTTTGAATGATTTTACAGAAATTGTAATGCTGAAACCACCTGATGATGTATTGACATGTAGAACCACTCCAACACCACATGCCCTAATAAAACCTGTAAACTACAAATAATAGCTTCCCTGCATTTTACATGTTTGTGGAACATCATGGAAATCCCAACAGATGATGCACATTTAGTCTTTTCCTCAGCTTCAATATTCATCCACCACATTGTTTGTGTGTAAAAGTACATATATTGACCTCAACAACTTAACACAGGAGAGAAACCAGTAACACTGATAACTCAAAGTACTTCCATACTTAACATAGAAGCTGACAAAACATGAATGTTCTGCACAGATGAATCTAGAATAATACCTGAATCAACAACTGACCAACTGCATTTAAGGAAAGAAAAACATCAGCAGAGGATTACAAAGCTGAGCCGAAAGTAACGAGTAACAAGAAGCTTCCTAGAAATGTAGTGGAGTCGAAAATACAATATTTGTCTTTGAAATGTAGTGGAGTGAAAGTCATAAGTTCACAAAAACACAAATACTCAAGTAGAGTAAAGATACTCAGAAAATGTATTTAAGTACAGTTCTCAAGTAAATGTACTTTATATGTATGTACTTTTGTATGTTCTAGAATTGCGCCGCTCGGGGTGGCTGCATGTTGGAGCAGCTCTGTTACTTTCATTCTGAGTTATTGCTTTTGAAAACTTTAATTCCTCTTTTTCTGGAGGTAAATTGCTTTTTTCGGATGATTACTTCCTCTGGTATCAGACGCTGCGCAGCTGGAAGGATTTTTTCTGAAACCTTTTTACTTTTAGGCATTTGTTATGATGCGTAACCATGGCAACAATGTTTTTTTTTTTTTAACAACCAGGAGCAGTTGATTAACATCTCAAAAGCTCAAATACCTCAACTACAGCACCAAATCCCAAATGAGTTGAAAAGGAGGCACCGTGGACGAACTCCCGTCAACCTGGTGGCGGTGCTCGAGTACCTGACCGCCGAGATCCTGGAGCTGGTGTGGAACTCATCTCGCAACAATGGGAGGACCGGGATCATTCCCTGGCACCTTCAGCTGTCTGTCCATGGCGACGAGGAGTTTTTGGGCAGTCCTGCTGCCCAGGAGGACCAAGAGGCTCGTCGGATCTGAGAGTAAGCTGGATCTGGGTGGACAGATCAGTATCTGTGGCCAGATTCTTCGGATTTGCTGCAGGAGATCCTTCCTTCCCACAACTATCAGCATCTATAACAACTCTTAAATGAAACCAAGATGATGACAACACTTAATTTCCCTTTGGGATTAATAAAATATTTTTGAATTGACTTGAATTATACTTCGTTATTGTCCACCACTGTCAGCAACAGGTAAGATATTAACTATTCATAACCTTCCCACACTTTAAAAGATCGCTCTCTCTTTAACGCGTCAATATGCAGAGTTACATGCGCAGAGATAAAGGCTCAGAGAGGGGTGTGTTTGTGCCCAGAACATTCACAAGATTCCTCACGGCAGTGATAAGCAGGACTTTATGAAAAGGAGAAAGCAAAGTTCACATGTCCTCTCTGGCTCAGGAGTTACAGGATCACACCTAGTATCACGACTCACTTGCTAAGGGAAGTGCAAAGGGCAGTTCTTACTGTTTTTTTTTTTTTTTCAAATAATGATTAAAGTAAAAGCCTAAACGCAAATCATATAAAATGTCTTGTGACGTAAAAGCAAAACACACGAGAGGTTTGAATTTGTTCACCATATTTAATCAAAAATTATTATTTTTTTTACAAAAGCGGGACATTTCTTGGGCTATTCTCTTTACTTTGTTGCTCCAGTTTTCTTCAAGTGCATCTGATAGCATTGCTCACAGGCAATGGACAGTCCAACAACCAGAGAAACAAACTCCTCAAAGTCCACCTGGCCGTCGCAGTTGGCGTCCAGGTCCTTCATGATCTTGTCTACAGCAGCCGGGTCCTTCTGGGACTGTGGACGATAAAAAAAAAACAAACGGAGTGAAAGGGGTGCATCAGCAAGTGATAAGACGGAGACGAGTCAAGAGTCGTCCCTCACCTTGAGGAAGTTGGCCAGCTCGTTCTCCATCAGCAGTCGGAGCTCTCGGCGGTTGAGGGTGGCACTGTGACCCTCTTTGGAGGCGTAACGGTGGAACACCTTGATGAGGGTTTCCATGCAGGTCTCCAGATCTGAAGGCATGGCTGCTGGAATGTGTTCAGGCTGGAAAACAACAAACACCAGAAAAGGGTTGAACTTGATCACTGATAACATAAGGTTTAGCTTCATTTGACAGCGTTTCAATGAATTTCTATTTTGTCTGTCATAAGACGCTCTCAGATAAAACAATGGAGACCTCATCTAAAATCAGTTTGATTATGTCGGTGCAGCTTCTGTAAATGATAAGAGGCCCAACGAACAAACAAACACCGCTTTGCTCACTTTAATCTTCATGAACAGTTAAGGTCATCACGTCAGGTATGTTATTATGTCGTTAGAGGGAAAAGATAATGATCAACTGTTTTTCATTGGATAAATACAGCATTCCTGCCACCCAAACCCCATGAAAGCTGTTGCTTTGTTGTAGCAACATAAAAAAACAGAAGCAGGAGGAAAATCTGAGGCTGTTTTTTTTTTTTTTTTGCCAGAAAGACAGTGGAAAACTTGAAAAGGTTGAGAAATGAGAGGCCCTGAGTGGTGGGGATTGAAGGCGAACAGCAGAAAACATGCTTGTGCCTGCCCACAGTCCAACCACACCCAGATATTACCCCACAGTGTACTGCTGAGAAGGTTACAATGCAAAAACAATCCAAAAAAACGGCCCAATCTTTCAGTCAGAAACCTTAGACAGTCAGACCGCAAGTCCTGAAAGTTGTTCAAAGTAAAATCAGAATGAACAACTGATGAAACTAAGAGCAGCAGATTTGCTCTACTTTAAAAAAAAAAAGTTCTTTAAAAGTAGTGCTGGGCAGCCCAAAACAGAAATTCTGCTGTAAATGTGGTAAAAACAGGGCGAGGAAAATGAAAAGGCAGCATATAATCCATATCAATCCTCTGAGAATCCTGACAGAACCACACTTGTGGGAACCAGATCAGCACCGTTAGTTCTTACCGTGCAGAGCTGGGACGGGTCCGGGAGAGGAGCAGAAAGTGTGCAGGAGTGTGAGGGCTGTACAGCAGAGGTTTTATACTGAGGCACCGCCCAGCTGCTGCACCTCCTCCATGGACTAAATGGACCCTATCCACATTCACAGACCGCAAGGGGGGCAACGTCACCAGGATACTGGAGCAAAGTTTGTCATTTGTGAGTAACCAACCCACAGTTCCTCAAATCAAAAGGCTGTGGGTTTACACTGCCTGCAGGCTGCAGTGCAACAAGAATGGCTTCGCTTGTGTTTTTTTCCTGCATCATCAGCAAAATACCTCTAGACCCACAGAATGGATTTAAACAGCAGTTTCAGGAACTAATCACTGGGTTGACCTCTACAACTGATGAACTTTTGGACTTTATCTCATTTAAAATGGCTGCCACAGCTGACAGACCTTAGAAAGTACAAAAAATAAAAATCCTTCAACTCAGACAGTGTTTTAGATTTGTGGCTGTAATTTGTTGTAGCTGAGCATCATCACCAACAAACATTTTTACTTTGAGCAACAGCTTTGTTTAAAACTTTGGCATTACCAGTTGGAGTCAGTCCTGTTTGTCTGTTAGCAAAATAACTCACGGACCACAGATTTCAGTGACGCTCTCAGAAAGTTATACACTGGATGTAGAATTGAATAACTTTTAGAGTTCAAGATGGCTGCCACAGCTAATCAACATTTGTCATGTCAAAAATGGCTCAACTCAGTCAGATTTAGAGATGTTGAGCTAACATTTGGTGTGGTAGTAGCTGACAGTCATTCACAACACATACGTCAAGCGCTAACAGATCACACAAGATATTGTATTGCAACATCGCATGAAATTGCACGTTATTTTTTAACGTTTGACCAAAATGGCCATAACTTTGTCACTTAGACCTCAGTCTGCGCATCATAGGCGACATGCATTATTTGAAGGAATAAGCCTAGTTTGTTTAGATCCACTAAAAAGTTGATTTGATTAAGCTCCTAATGATTTATTCTTTAAGACAAGAAGATTCCTCCGCTTGTTGATTGGTGGTGGACATCATTAGAAAGGAGATACCAATCTTTAAGACTTATCACAAAGAAAAAACGGCTAGATTGACAGGAAAACACAACAGAGTAAAAGGTTGGGGTTATTTAAATAAAGCAGTTGATTGTATTTGGCTAAACATCACAAAATAACTAATTTAATCAAACACTATCATCCTACAGACACGACAACACACATGTCCTACATAATGTATAACAAGGAAGCCAGTTTTTCTGAAGGTCTTTGGTGAGTGAACCTTAAAAAGGGAAGTTTGCGCCCCCTGGTGGTGAACATTTGACTTAACAATTTTTAAAACAGACACTTGGAAAAAGTGGATTGTGCTGTTTGGATTACAGACACATAAACAACTGCATGAACTGTGGATGGATGGATTATTATTATTATTATTATTATAAAACAGTTAATCTTTCAACATGGTGTTAAGTTTAATGTTGTGTGATTAGTGTCTTACTTGAACCTGAAAACTTAGTGAGGGTCATAACATAAGTTATAAATTGAAGTTCAGCAAAAACTACTTTTTTTTTCCTCTTTAAAATGTAGTTCAGCACAAAACTAGACAAAAAATGTATCTATCTACAGCTACATGATTTATTAATTAAATGGTATTTTAAAGAACCCTAATGTAGAGACTTTTGAGAATGGGACAGAGAACATTGCTCTGTACATATCAAGATATTCTAACTGTGCAGAGAATTAAAGTTAAAGGTTTTTATTAACAACTTTTGTGGTTGTCAGAACCCTTGAACAGTTCAAAATCACTAAATAAATAAATAAATAAATAAACTGAGCTGCCAGGAACAAATAAAATAAAATAAAATAAATGAACAATTTAAAACATGAAAAACACTTAAAACCTAATTATCACCCCAAATTACAAACTACAACAGGATTATTCAACTAAACTGCTCCGGGGGCCACAATTTCTGAAAGCCAGCAGCTCAGTGCCCGTGGGGCACCAGTTTAACCAGTTGAAAAGCCCTGAACAATGTTTAACATCCAAACAATTGAAATACATATTTGTTCTAAACACTTCTTCATTTGCAAATTTTTAAAAAGATTTATTGAAACTATCGAGTGACTGAGTAGTTCAAGGTATAAAATATAGATTTCATATTTTTGGACCAAAACAACGACAACAAAATAAACCTGGATTGTCTTTTGCTCATCTTATATTTTTTCGCCTTACATTTTTGGGGATTTATTTTTTTTACATGTCTCTCCTGCAGTTAGGCTGCAGGACTTTTATGAATTCTCATGTGGTTATGAGTTATTTATCACAAAATCCCTCTGTGCAACATAAAACATGCATTTATCCATCCATCTGACCAACCAGTTTGTGATGGTGCAGGGGGTGTTAAGGTGCCTGTCTCCAGCAGACATTGTGCAAGAGGTACAACCTGGTGCATTTAACCCTTTAATGAAACTAAATCACTTCACATGTAATCTGCTGAGAGTTGAGTAAATTACTCAAGTTACAAAAAACACTGATATACTCGCAGGGGTTCCCAACCCTAGTCCTTGAGGAACACCATCCTGCATGTTTTACTTGTTCCTCTGCTCCGACACACCTGATTTTAATAAATGGATGATTTACAGGCTTCTGCAGAACATGTGGAAGTAATTAAATCACTGAATAAGTTGTGTTGGAGCAGGGAGACAATTAAAGCATGCAGGATGGTGTTCCTCAAGGACCAGTGTTCGGAACCACTGATCTATTGAGCCTCAGTAGAAGAAATGTATGTGCCTTTCAGAAAAGCGTGTATTGATGCATTATTTAAAAACAATTAATTATAAAGAAATGTCAGCGTTCTAATGCCTTAAATAGAACTTTTAATGAGAACAACCAGTTTCCTCAGGCATCTCGTTGTGAAAGCACCAATCCTAAACCTACATGTTGATTTATGATTGATCCGTTTGAAGCCGCTCAAACGAGATCTTAGCTGCAGTGTGATTAATGACATGCAGTCAGTTCACATATGACACACCTTCCGCAAACGCAACATGTTTATTTTCTTGCCTGTCCAGTTCATCTGCCACACCTGATCACTAAAACAAGAAAAGAAAAGAAATGCAGAAATGCAGAAGTGATTGGCTTAAACACTTTTATTTTCCTTCATATGAAGCCAAATAGAGCATCAAGTATTTATTCAACTCAAGTGACTTATTTTCCATTGCCATCATCTTTGCAAGTCTTCATGACTTCCTGAAGGGCGTCATAGTTTGAGCAGGCGAAAGAGCAAACCAGCACGGCGAACTCTTTGAACTCCAGTTTCCCGTCTTCGTTGATGTCTACAGTCTTGAACAGCTCTTCTCCAGCTTTTGCCTTCGTGATAAAGAACACAAAAAACGAGTGCATTCACATTTAACTGGTTCATTTGTGCACAAATCATTAACTTTAACTGTTTTTCGGTGGAAGTAAGAGACATTTGGAAAGATTTTGATGAAATGTAACGTTCTCGATCATATCGTTTAAAACGTAAAGAATTTAGAGGCATAAATCAGTGCTGTAGTTTTTTTATGTTGTATTTCTGCAAAACACTTCTTAAAAGTAAATGTTGCCTCACCAAATCAAATGAGGGCATCTGCTCTGCCAGACATTTGCAGAAGGTTTCTTTGGACAGCGTCCCATCAGCGTTTTGATATTCCATAAAGACACACAGCAGACTTCCCACAGATAGCTCCAGAGGAGTTATGTCCTTGCTGCGTTTCATTTTTGGATTTTTAATCAAATCTGGACACAAAGTTAAAACAGTAAAACTATTTAGCAACTTAAATTGTGGGTTTTATAATAACAGAAACAGGAATATATATATAGATTCAAATCAGCATGTTGATTTTTTTATTTAATTTCTAGATAAAGTTAACACTTTTTTTTCCCACATACCTGACAAAAAGGAGAGTTTCTTGAAGCAGACACCTAAAGTTTGATATTTGCAATATCAGTATTCAAGAACAGGGCAACCTGTTATGACAAAATAAGTGGTAAAATGTACAAAAAAAAAAACCTTAACAGTGCACGGTTTTGTTCCTACCTGGATCTTAAGGTGATTCCAAAGCGTGAACTCAAGCTTGCTGTGAGTTTAAATAGAGCTGGAACGCCCTCTTCACATGTCTTCTTCAACAGGTATTTGTGATGAAGTAAATTTACACCTAAATACACCCCTGTCATGCATTCAATAAAATGCACTTATTTATGCATTTATAACACTATATACATAAGCAGCTTTATAAACTTAAGATTTTAAGATGTTTTATTTTCCTGCAAGTTGTGCAGAGGCTATCCGTTAGGGCTTTTTTTTTTTTTCACAAAAACAGCAATTGCACTGTTTTTTTTAGGGTGTGACACTGACAGATCATAAGAAAAAAATGTTTTCCAGGTGTGGTGCATGGACATAAAACCTGCCAGGTAGGTTTGTGTGTCAGCAAACACACAAGAATGTCCGGCAGCCGTAAATTTTCTCACCAGTGGGGAAAAATACTGACGCTTCACGTGAATAAATGTGGTCGAAATATTGTTTAACATGACATTAAAACAACATCACTGACGCTAAAATATGCTCTGAAAAGAAAATGACACGTTTGCATCTGTGCATGTGAAATGAGAAAACAACAGATCCAGATGTGCACTTCACTTACCAAACGTTTTCCTTGTAAACGTCTAAAAAGAAGCAGTCGTTAAATAAAATTAACAAACGAGCAAACGTTTCCTGAAGGAATACAGAGTTTTGGATGTTTTTGACAAATCTGGAAATGAACATGGAGGACTGTAAAATACCTGCGTGTGTATTGAGCTTCGGCTCCTACCACACCCAATTTTAGCTCATTATTCGTAAAATTAGCAGAGTTATTTTGTATTGGTTAAAGTTGACTTAGACGATCATCTTGATTGGATCAATTCTCAAACTTAGTCACTTGCAGATAAGAACATTAGATTCAGAAAGTTTGATCAAAATCTATCCAGTGGCTCATGAGGTATTTTGCTAACAGACAAATAAGGTGGGCTCCAACAGTTAATGCTGAAGATTTATGGAGAAATCTTGTGAAATGAGTTGCACTTGGAGTTTATGTTGTGAATGACTCTCAGCTACAACCACAACAAATTTTAATCTCAGTAAAATCCACAGCTGTTTAGTCAATTTTGTGTTTTCTAAGTTCAGCTGGCTGTGGCAGCCATCTTGAATTTGTTTGTCTTAAAAGTTAACACAGCCAAAGATCATTTCCTAAAGTTTCTGTCAGGATCTGTGTGTGTGTGTTTTTTTTTTTTAATATATAAGTATTTTATGTTAATTGCTCAAGTTCCTTCTCAGGTTCATGTTTATTTTTATTGTGTGGTCATTCACATTATATTTCAATGTGATCATCAACAGACTCCAGTGAGAATAGTCTATGGTCCTGAAGTGATCTGCACGCGCAGAAGAAAACATGAGGTCACATGCTGCCCGCTTCACACCTCGATGATGCAAACATCGGACGGAATGCAACGTGGCGGTTCAGACTGACGTCACTCTGAAAAATATGTGTCCAATGTAGTACCACATGTGAAAAAGCAGATTTGTCACATTCAGACGGTCAGAAAAATCCAACAAGGGTGATTTGCAGGTTCCATCTCTCTTTAAACCTGGGAGTTTTATCAAAATCTGTCCAGTGGTTCATAAGACATTTTGGCTATACAGACAAATGGTTATTGGCGATGATCTTTCATCAGCAGAACATTTGTTGAGTATGACTCTCAGCTACTACCTCATCAAATACCAGACTGGTAGAATAATGAACATTTTGTCTCAGCTCAGAATGACAGATTTCTTTTCTTTTTTTTTATCACTTGTCCAGGTGTGAAGCTCGTTTTGCAGAGTTAATGTCAGGTACAACTGTCTAAAGACGACCTTTGATTATCAGGAAATCAGTCATTCCTTATTATTATTATTATATTATACAGTTATATAGAATAAAATGCTTTTAATCATTTTTGAAAACTGAAAAATCAAAGCAAATATGTGCTTGTTTTTAGTATTTCACCCTGTTTTACAGCACCCTGATTCATTGTTTTGTGCACTACTCTTATTTTACATTGTTACTATTGTTATGCACTTTATGTCTGGAACAGGTCTCTCTTGTAAATGAGTGGCTCAATGGGGATAGCCTGTATAAATAAAGTTTGAATTATTATTAAAAAAAAAAAGAATCACAACCTGAAATTACAGCACCGTGCAAAAGTTTTAAATCATGTTTTTTAAACCTTTTTTCTTCTTTCCAATCCTAAAAACGGACAATTCAGCCTTTTTCCATGTTTTAGTCAAAATTAATGATATTTAATATACAATCTTTTTTTTTTTCTTGTTTGATATATAATCAGCTGGATGTAAAGCATGTAGATCCACGAGGATCATGAACCAAACAAATTGCAGATTCAAGATTTATTTATTTATATAGTTTTTTTTTTTTCTGTTGCGCATCATTCAAAGGCATCCGGGGTGCGGGGTGGGAGGAGCTGAGGGGGGGTCTGGATGTCTGATGAGGAATAAGGCCACAGCATCTGTTATTCAGCGTGGATGTAAATATATATTTACACACAAAAAAAAAAATCCAAGTCTTTTTCTCCGCAGCACGTGCGACGTTTATCAGCGGTTTGGTTGCTCGTGCGCATCTGAAACAAAACAAACGCAGGAAATACTGAACGATTCATCGATTATTTTCTGTAATCTGGAGGGATTGTGTGATATTTATTCGTGTCATTAGGATGCACCACAGGTTTTGTGGTCTGGGTCGAGTTAGATGATGAAAACGGGGGGCAGCTTTTTTTATGGGGCAGAGATGGACGTGAAAGCCTCGTCCGCCATGGAAGCGTTGGTTCGCATCAGCGTGAGTACTAATTTATCTTTTATTATGGCTTGCCTCTGTAAGAATATCAAATTCTGAAGCTTTATGAATTTATAGGGAATGATATGAGAAGCCAAATAAAAAGAAAGATATATGAAAATAAATAAATAAATAAAAAAAATCCTCGGTGAGGATTTGCTCGTTATTTTGAGGTTGCTCTTTCTGGTGGGGCTTGAATAAAATGGCTTCATAGAATCGATTTGAATTTTTATCTAAAACCAAATAAAAACGGTGTTTTTCGACGAGATGCAGCGCATGTTGATAAATATAAAATGGTAAAACGGGCTGTTTTACGGGGCTCATTGGATGGTCGTTTCCATGGAGACCGGATGCAAGCCTCCAGTTCGCTGCTGAGGGGAAAAAAAAAAAAAGGATAAAAGAAAAGCTGCTTGGATGGGGTTTTCAGAACAATGATGGTCTGATAAAAAAAAAAAAAAAGAAGATGTTAGAGAATGTGCAGAACAGCATCTTTTCAGGATGTCGAATCAGAGCTTCCCTCTCATCTTACACCTCCTTACTGACGATGTAATGCCTCAAACTCCTCCCTCTTCTCTGTCGCTGTCCTCATGCGGGATATATAGCCATATAGTTCACTATCATGGCGCCTAGATTCCAGGTGAAGGTAAGGATGCGCTTGTTTTACGTCTGCACCAGCAATGCAGCATCCATTAGAGGTGGATGAAGAGGTCCACAGCTTGCAGAACATGCAGTAACCTGGATTTGTTAGGATTAGCTGCAGGAGGAGGAGGAGGCAGACAGGCCGGAGTTGACATTGGAGAATGACACAGAGGCTGACTGAAGTAGGTTGTTGTTGTTGTAGGTCTTGACTGTGGAATAATGTCTCAGCAAATATGTCTGTATCTTTATAGTGAAAAGAATATATGCACAAATGAGCTTTATCTGCCTGCATTATCCTGCATCACCACACACAGAAGTGAGAAAATACACAATTCCCCCGAGCAGCACTCAGTCAGCTTCTGACATCCTCTTCTTGATGTTAATTCATAGTGAGAGTGATGAGAGCGGCTGGACCTGTAGCTGTTTTTGTTTGGAGGTTGTGTGTCAAGGGCATCCTGTCTGAATGTCAGAGACTAACGAATACAAAGTGGGCACAAGATCTAAGAGATTTTAGAATAATTGTATTTTTTTGTTTTCTCATAAAAATGTGAATAGAGTGACTGAAGGTGTGAAGTCGGGTTTTAGAAGCAGCTTTTGTCAAACTGATGTCCTCGAGTGAATCTGACACTTAATAATCTCACTCTGTAGCTCTAATGTAGTTTCACTGACTCTGCTGGCTCAAGATGAAGGTACAGAAAGGTTGAGTTACTGTGTTGCATTAATGTTTCTTGAATTCATGTGTATGTGGAGTCACTTTTCGTTTTTGTCCTGTAGTAATTGATGCACCTTTTTGTAATAAATGTAACAAATACAGTTTGATGTCATGCAAAAAAAAAAAATCGGACTCCTGGAGCTGTTCTAAAAGAAACACAGAAAATGAATAATTGATGGTTGGTCTTGATCAATAATTTACAAAAATGATGGCTTGTGTCATCTGTATGCCACATCTTTTTACACTGGCTTCTCTTATCTCCTCTCAACTGACTACTTTCCTGCTATAAATCTGTCCATAAAATCCAATATTGCAATATTTACTCATTTTCAATCCAGTTAAAAGCTTGATATGCACGTTTCTCCCTTTATATGTTGAATTTAAAAGGACTTATAGAATAAAAGGTTCCCGTCTTAATAATCCATGATCTCTTTGCCTCCAACAGTCAAACATGAAGAGCCTGGAGCATGAGCTGCACTGTCCTGTGTGTAAAGAGATAGTCAAACAGCCTGTGGTCCTGCCGTGCCAGCACAGCGTCTGCCTAATGTGTGCCTCTGAGGTCCTAGTGGCAAATGGCTACCCGCCTCCGGACCTCCCCCCAGAGCCCAACTCTCCAGCTTCCACCCCCAACACCCGCTCACCGCGTCAGGCTCGCAGGCCCACTCCCAAAGCTGAGCAGCGGCCTATTGATCGTGTGCTGCGATCAGGTAAGAAATGCATCTTTAGTTCGATTATTTAGTTTTGATTTCTCAAATTTGCGACGTTTGTTTAATTGAAAATTTCTCCTATCTGCTCACGAGGTCCTCATCCGCCATCGCCATCCATGCCTCGTTCTCCTGGTCATGGGGCGTACCCAGGGCGGCGCCGCAAGGAGGGCCCACCCCTGCTGATGATGTTCCCTTGCACCCTCTGCAGTCGCGACGTACAACTGGGCGAGAAGGGCCTCACTGACTGTCTCCGCAACCTCACACTGGAGCGAATCGTGGAGAGGTCGCTTGCAGATGTGTTCACACACTTCTATTAGAAAACGATATTTAAAAAAAAAAATGCTATGATAAGCACATAAAGCCTCCACATTAGTACTGATTTGATGATAAGGAACCGGATGTAAATGAATAAATGACTCCAAAGTGGAAAAACTGGAGGTGTGGGAACATTTCCAAATCTGATCGTCACCATTCAGCAGCAGCTGAACTGAGAAAAATCCTGCACCGTGTGCAATACAACATACTGTCCTGTAGCTACACTTACTGACAGTGTGTTTCCACTGGCTAGCAGCTTCCTCTTCACTTTCTCACATATTTCTTCCTGTCTCATTCTAGATCCTTGCACCTTTTAGACACCTTGATTTGACTTGTCTTATAGCATCCAAGCAGTAATTTACGCCCTCATTTGATAACGTAAGGTGTTTTGTCACAACGCAACAAACCAAAAACATTATTTTTTTGTTGTTTCTACCCTTTTCTTTTTGTGATCATTATCTTCAGGTACAGACACACAGTGAGCCTGGGCAGTGTTGCTGTGATGTGTCAGTTTTGTAAACCGCCGCAAACTCTGGAGGCCACTAAGGGCTGCGCTGACTGCAGAGCAAATTTCTGCAACGAGTGTTTCAAGCTCTATCACCCATGGGGGACGCCGCGGGCACAACACGAACACATCCTGCCAACGCTCAACTTCAGACCAAAGGTGCAACTGATACACTTGTTTCAAATTTTTATCTGCATGAAAGATAACTATTAAAATGCCCATTTAAGCTGCTTTTTTATCTAGTCAGCAAAGGTTTTTAGATTATAAAACTATAACATGTATATTCTAGAATCTCGCTGCACAGGGCGGCTGCATGTTGGAGTAGCATTCATGTAGCTATGTTACATTCATTCTGAGTTATTGCTTTTGAAAACCTTAATTCCTCTTTTTCTGGGTGTAAATCACTTTTTTTCTGATGGTTATTTCCGCTGTGCAGCTGGAAGGATTTTTACTCCAACCTTTTTACTTTTGGGCCTTTGTTATGCTGTGTAACCATGGCAACAGGCTTTATTTTAACAACCAGGAGCAGCTGATTAACTTCTCAAAAGCTCAAATACCTCAACTACAGCCCCAAATCCCAAATGAGTTGAAAAGGAGGCACCGTGGATGAATTCCCGTCAACCTGGAGGCGGTGCTCAAGTACCTGACCGCTGAGATCCTGGAGCTGGTGAGAAACTCAGCTCGTGACAACGTGAGGACCGGGATCATCCACCGGCACCTTCGGCTGTGTGTCCGTGGCGACAAGGAGCTTGGCAGACTGATGGGAGGAGTGACCATCGCTCAGGGAGGAATTCCGCCTGGCGTGCAGGCAGTCCTGCTGCCCAGGAGGACCGTGGGGTCCGCCGGATCTGGCGGCAGACTGGATTCGGGTGGACAGATCAGTATCTGTGTCCGGACTCTTCGGATTCACTGCAGGAGATCCTTCTTTCCCACAGCCATTAGCATCTAGCAACTCTTGAATAAAACCAGGATAATGAGCTATGACGTTACTTAATTTCCCCTTGGGATTAATAATGTATATTTTTATTGAATTGAATTTTATTAAATAAAATAAATCTGTTTAACAGAAGTGAAAATTTTTCATATTATACTTTTAGCTTTAGGAATACAAATCTGTGTTTCACAGAAAAAAATCCAGGAACATTTACCTGCAGTGGTCTATTCTCCCAAAGTGAAAATGTTCAATTATAAATAAATGTCTGTTACTTGTCTTTGTTCTGTTTTTCACAAGTGAAGAGTGACTCGGATGAACGGGTTCAATTTTAACGAGCATCTCCTCCTCAGGTTCTGACGTGCACGGAGCACGACCACGAGAAGCTGCAGTTTTACTGCAGATCCTGCCAGCGGCTGCTCTGTCCTCTCTGTAAACTGCGTCGAATCCACACCGGACACAAAATCCTCCCCGTGGCTCAGGCTTACCAAGCTCTGAAGGTCAGACTTCTCCAAAATAAAGCAAAACAGTCATAAAAATACAAATATACATGTATAAAATCCTTTCAAACAAAGTTTCATTCCTATACTCACATGTGATTGGTCACATACCCAAGCTGTGGATAGAAATTAATGATAAACAGATTTAACATTTAAAAATCATACATTCTGATGTATAAGAGATAAGCACAGACAGGCTAATGGAGAGTTAATGTCTGACTTTGAATCTGTGTTATCTTTTTTTACTCAACAGGATAAGATTGCTAAGGAGATGAACTACATTCTGTCTAACCAGGACACCGTTCTGGCTCAGATCACACAGCTGGAGAGCTCCATCACTCAGACTGAGGTGATTAAAACTTACGCCCAACAAATGTTTGCTTAACATGAAACTAAAAACCAGTCAGCAGTTCAACCTCATTAAACAGCTAAAGGCACAGATTATGTCTTTTGGTGATGCTTTTAATCAGATTTATTTGGAATAAATTCACATTTAATACAAAACGGTTTATGTTGTATTTGACCAGTTATTATAACTGTTCGTGTGAAGCCAAAAACGCCAGTTTTTAGTCCCAGAAACTTTGAGACTCATCATCATACATTTAGTCAAATTCCTGTCTGGCTTGTTTTTCTGTTTCTTTTCCCACAGAGCTCATTATAACTCAAAGTGCAACAAATGCTGCAGTCAGAAAGTTACGTACCTTGACCTTGGAGTTTGGCTTGAATGTCTTTTAATGGTTTCCTTGTCTATTTTTCTACCATCTGCACTATCTGTCGGATCAACCTGGGCTTGCATTTCTTCTTGTGTCCACTGCCTAAGAATTTGATTTTGGCTCCGTGAACCTTGCACTTTTTAATAATCTTGTCAGCTGTGTTCAGAGGAACATGAAGCTGCTTGGAGATAGTCTTGTAACCTTTCCATTTAACATGGACACATCTATATATTCATTCTGGGCTCATTAGACAGCTCTTGCCTTTGATATCTCTGCTCCATGTTCAATGTGGCGCACACAACCATACCAAACTACCCATTGGCTGTTTCTTCCCTTTATATTGGCTTAATAGCTGATAAAAAGCTTAAAGGGACTTGTGATACCATACTTAGTTGGAACCATAACAATATTGCAAGAATAGTCTTGCCAGGGTACATGGTTGAAGACCATGAAGAGGGAAATGTGTCACGAGACAGAGGGAGAAGAGAAAAGTCAAGCATGTAGGAGTGAGGGTGGCAATTCTAAATGTGGGGACAATGACAGGCAAATGTAGAGAGCTGGCTGACATGATGCAGAGAAGGAAGGTAGATGTTTTATGTGTCCAAGAGACCAAGTGGAAGGGCAGCAAGGCTCGCAGCATTGGGGCAGGGTTCAAACTGTTTTACCATGGTGTGGCTAGAAAGAGAACTGGAGTAGGTGTGGTTCTGAAGGAGGAGTTGGCAAAGAATGTAGTAGAGGTGAAAAGAGAGCATCAGACAGGGTGATGTGTCTGAAGGTAGAAGCAGAAGGTTTGATGCTAAATGTTGTCAGTTGTTATGCTCCACAGGTTGGATGGGACATAGATGAGAAAGATACTTTTTAGAAGGATCTGGATGAAGTGATAGAGAATATTCCCAGGGAGGAGAGAGTGGTGATCGGAGCAGACCTGAATGGACATGTTGGTGAAGGAAATGGAGAGGATGAGGAAGTGATGGGTAGGTTTGGTGTCAAGGAAAGAAACCAGGAAGGACGGATGGTGGTGGATTTTGTCAAGAGAATGGAAATGGCTGTAGTCAACACTTATTTCCAAAAGAGGGAGGAGCATAGAGCGACCTAGAAGAGTGGAGGAAGGAGCAGGTCGACTACATTCTGTGTAGAAGAGGAGACCTGAGGGAGATTGGGGACTGTAAGGTTGTGGCAGAGGAGAGCGTGGCCAGACAGCATCGGATGAGAAATAATAATGTGAGGAGTTCAGAGAGGAGCTGTTAAAGGCTCTGGGTGGTAAAAAAGAGCTTTTAGATGACAGGGCTACTACAGCAAAGTTCATTTTTAAGAACAAGGGTGATGTACAGAGTTGTAGCAACTACAGGGGAATTAAGTTGATGAGCCACACGATGAAGAGTTGTGGAAGCTAGACAGACGAGAAGTGAGATGTGAGTGTACCAACAAACTTCACTGTGTTTGTAAAACATTAATAATATTTGCGTTGTAGCACATTTTGCTCTCTTTCTTGGGCTTTTCTAACTGATGTGCACTATGACCTTCGGTGCACCTTCTTATAAAAGACAAAGGCCTTGTGTGAAGATGTGAGCCAGCTTCAGCAGAGTGTTAGTTTTCAGATGTTTGACGTTTTCTCCACGTGTCTTTTCGCCCTCAGGTGAACAGTGTGTCAGCCAGAGAGCAGCTGGCTCAGAGCATCAGGGATCTGACCGCTGCTCTGGCTGAGCGTCACGCCTCGCTCACCCAGGCTCTGGAGGCGGCGCGGCAGAAGCGAGGCGAGGCGTTGGCCGCTCAGGTGGCGGAGAGGCGGAGCTTAATGGAACACGCTGGGCTCATGGCGTTCACCCAGGAGCTGCTGAAAGAAACCGACCAGCCTTGCTTTGTGCAGGCCGCTCGACAAACTCACAACAGGTTGTCCTTTTGTTTACCCTTGTTCTTACTTCCTAATGAGCCTAAATAGATATTAATGCCTTGTTGTTGTTGTTTTTTATTGATAAAAACGATAAAACGGCAGCACACGTTGCTTAATTTTTCTTTTTTCTTCATTTGCTCAATGACCGCTTTAAGCTTTAAACAAAATCTTAAAGCTCCAACTTGAAATGATCTGGGGTTCTCAGTTGTGTGAAAGTAGGACTTTACCGATTTAGATGTATTTGTAAATCGCTCCACTCTGGTATACATTTAATGATCCATCTTCCGGCAGATGTGTTTGCTTTATATCGCTGCAGTTATAATTAATGAAAAGTCACTGTCGCAGTGGGTAGCATCTTCTTTATAAACAAGGCACAGAGGTTTATCTTTAATAAACATTCAGCAAATGTGCATTAATCATTACAGCCTATTTATTTATTTTTACGTTGAGCCACAGTTAATTCACCATTTTGACCAGGAAGGCGATATTTTGTCATTCTGTCTTTAATGGAAATTAAACGTGTTAGTGTTAGCAACAAATAGGACAGTGATGTATTACGAGAGGACTAAAGTTATATTAGTTTTGGCCCATCTGTTAGATTTGTCAAGCGAAATAAAAATACAGGAAGAGGCTGCAGCCTCATCTTTTATTTTATCTTTTCCAAACATGCCTCCCACATTATCATCCTGTGTCTCCCTCCATTTGTCTTGATCAAAGCGTTTTGTAAACATCGTTGCAATTCCTTTCTCTCGCTCTCGTTTATTTACCAGGCTGAGCAAAGCAATTGAGAATCTCCAGCATTTCGCTTTAGCTGCTGATCCATCCTTCAGACACTTCCAGCTGGACGTCTCCAAAGAGCTTAAACTCCTGACAGAGCTGAACTTCATCCAGGGTGAGAAGGGCAGCTGTGGGAGGAAGGGTGGGGAAGAATACAATAAGACAGAAGAAATGTGTTTAAATAAATAAAAACTAAGAGCCTCTACATTGAGCATATTCCTGTTGTAGCTCCTCAGGCCCCAGTGATTGACACCCAGCGCTCTCTGGCCTATGATCAGCTCTTCCTGTGCTGGCGACTGCCCCAAGAGTCTGCGCCCGCCTGGCACTTCTCAGTGGAGTACCGCCGCCGCGGCGTGGTACCAGGAGGAGCGTCCAGAGGCGGGATCAGAGGAGGACTCGCTGCAGCTCGCTGGGGCTGGCAGCGCTTGGACGAAGTGAGTGGAACCAGTGCTGTGATTGACAGGTTGGAGATGGACAGTGTTTATGTGCTGCGAGTGAGAGGCTGCAACAAGGCGGGGTACGGGGAGTACAGCGAGGAGGTGTACCTGCACACGCCCCCTGCACCAGGTGAGAAAACCTTGATTGTTTTGCTCAAGAAAAAGGTGCATAATAAATAATAAATTCACAATGAACAATGTGTGGATTTCCCTTTTATATTCATTTAATAATATCAGATAATTCTTGCTGATGCAATAAAAAAGGGGGGTCAAAATGAAAAACATCTGATACCTGACATCTTTTCTTGGTTGCAAGTTCCTCAACAAGAGTTTCATTGTTCTCATCTGACGTCATGAGAAGTCTGCACTAAATAAAGCATGCCCAGTTTTAAAGTAAAATTTAAAACATCAAAAGTATTTTACCTTTAAAATATCATTTTGGGGCCAGATGAGATGTTAACAAGGGCCATATTTGGCTCCTGGGTCTTGAGTTTGACACATGGGACCTAGATCCTCAAAAAATGTGAATTGTCATTATAATCCTATTTTTACGTAGAGAAAAACAGTATACGTTTGTTTGTTTTTTGTCAAATATATTCAAAAAGATTGGTAAGTAAGTGCAGAAAGCAGTGGGAGTAACAAGCTGTAGCATTTTTGGTGTAACCTGAGTTCACTTCCTGCAGGAATATTGTCATTTTTCTGCTCAGATGATCATGAAATTTAAAAAATGCTGCGATGTAAACATTTACCAAATTGTTAGCTTATTAATCTGCTCATAATTAAACTCTTTTTCCGTAAACTGAGGCTTGTCAAAGAGATATCTACAACAGGTGAGATAGTAATTGTTAAAATCTCTCCACAGAACCCCTTTTTTGAAAATGTCTGGTTTCTTTCAGCTGTATGATTAAGGTCAAACTTTCAAATATATTAAAAATACTAAATTCTCTGGAACTAGCCTTATTCATTTTTTGTACATGTCATGATAATCTTGTCTGCACCTGAGCTACAACATTGTTATCTACAAACAAAAACTGAACAAATGTTTAGTCTCTTTCTCGCCGTTAATTAATGCATATTAAGCAGTTATTAACAATTTATAAAGTGTTTATAGAGGAATTAATAATGTATCTTTAAACTATTATGGGAGACTTATTGTAACGTGTTAACACATTTCCACTAACTATGCGTGCACAGTGGGATACAAGTTGGTCACTCTCTACAGGAGCCACTCACCTTGATTATTATCATAAATTCTTAACAGATTAAACTTATTTGTTTTTGCAGTGAAATACTGAAAAAAAGTCACTTTTTTTTTCTCCATCCCCATCTTCTTGTTTCTAACCGCCGCCTCTGATTTGTCACTGTCAACACATCCTCACCTTCTCTTTATTTCCTGGTTTAATTCCATTTCACAGCTTTGTACTTGCCATCTTCAGCTGTGCTACTTCCACGCTACCAACCTACATGCCTCCTGCAGAACGTAAGAAGTGCTCTGGTTTTAGACCTCTCCCCTCCCCCACTCACCCCCTCTTTCTCCCATTCTCACTCAGATCTGTCCGAGCATCGATGATGTTTGCATTTTGTTAAGACCCGAGGCTTAACAAATTGGATTCAGATCCAGGATTTTTTTTTAAGGGTCGATTTGTGCGATTGGTGAATTCCTTCGTGCCCCTGTTGGCTGTTTTACCTGCTATCATCCCCCTGGTATCTTTAAAAAACAAGGTCCAGCTGTCAGAGTTCTGTGGTGAAAACTGTTGTATGAATCATCAATATCTTCTGTTCCAGCGCTGACAGGAGGAGGTGCACCTGCTCCTCTCCTCTCAGTTTTTATTCTCCTCGCCTTTGTTCTGCTTTCTGGCTGTAAATCTGTTCGCCTTTCCTTCTGTTGCCTCCCGCTCACTTCTAAAATTTGATCTCATGTTTCTAAAATCTATCTGTCTTTTACGTCTTTTCCTCCCTGATCTTGTCTTCCTCTGTCCCTTGTGTCCTCTCAGTGCTGAACTTCTACTTGGACTCTCGCTGGGGTCTCCACGCCGACCGGCTGGTGGTCAACAAGGAGCAGCGCGGCGCTCGAAGCGTCCCCGGCCTCTCTCTGCTGCAGGCCGCTGACCATTCTCTCACTTCCTGTCACCTGACGTCTGACCTCCTGGTGGGGGATGTAGCCATCACGCAGGGGAGGCACTACTGGGCATGCTCAGTAGAGCCTGGATCTTATCTTGTGAAGGCAAGTAAACATGGACTCCAGGTTTTTTCTGAGGGATGCGTAGCTTCAGGAAGAATGTCTTGGATTCAGGGTGAACAGGTGACTGCAGAGACTTTATGTCACGTTTCCTGTTCAAAAATCTAACTAAAAGTATTGTTTTTATTTTTTAACTCTTTATTACATGAAATAAAAACACTAAGAAAATAATGGATGTACGTCTACAGCTCATTAACCTCATTCAAGATGGCCGCCATAGTCAAGTGGTCTTAGCAAACACAGAAATAGTTTTAATTTTTAAAGCTGTTAATTTTACAGGCATTGAGCTAAAATATGGTGTGGAAGTAGCTGAGCATCTTCTACGTCACGTACTTGGAGTAAAGCACGTCTCGCAACTTCTTTGCATAAAACCTTGGCATCAACTGATGGAGTCGACCGTGTTTCGTCTGTTAGCAAAATATCTCGTGAACCGTTGTACAGATTTCAATGAAACTTTCAGTAAGTAGATACAGTATATAGATATAAGTAGTGATTAAGCTTTGGAATCAACCCAATTCAAGATGGCCTCCACACCTAATCAACCTTAGCCTGCACAAAAATAGATATAATTTAGCAAATTTGCCAGATATTGAACAAAAATCTGATGTGACTGAAGCTGAGTCCTTCACAGATCATGTGGAATCTCATGAGATATTGCATGAAATGAAAATAACAAGATAATTGAGAGTTTGTGAGGATGTCGATAAATCATTTGCACTTTCCATATTTTGGTTGTATTATTGATAAAGAGTTTTCCTCCCATGAAATGTGTCTTTTTCGGCTAAAGTTATTGAAAGAATAAAACAGATAAAGCCTGATTAGGATCTCGTCTTTGTTGAATAGGTGGGAGTGGGTCTGGAGTCCAAACTGCAGGAGTGGTTTCACCTCCCACAGGACATGGCCAGCCCTCGGTGAGTATCAGAAAATTAAATTTAAAGTCTTTTCAAACCCCTGCAGCATGATTTTATTTTCCCCAACTGAGCTTGATTTGGCTCTGGGGCAACGTGAAAAGCTCTCAGAAATAATAATTTATCACAAAATAATCACTTATAATGTTTTGGATGCCAATAAATACAAGAAAGTGGCTTTAGATTTCCTGTTTTACTGGTTATAATTTAATAACTTAATAGTTTAAAGGTTATTCCATACTGATCTGTTTGAACCTACAAACTGAGACTTTTGATTTAACTTTCAGTTTTCAGTCCTCTTGTTACATGTCCTAAAGAGGCAGTTCAGATTTTTTCAAGTGGGTTTCTGTGGATTACTTGAGAGCAGTCAGTATCCTAACGTATTTTTCAGACTATAAGGCGCATTAAGCGAAACAAAAGTCAGACAAGTCAAAATTTATTCAACTCGTTCACAATAACCACATAAAATCAGTTTGAGGTCAGTGATCACAGCCAGAATTAATACATAAGTCACACCGGGTTATAAGGCTCACTGTTGATTTTTAAGAAAATTTAAGGATTTGAAGTGCGCCTTATTGTCTGAATAATACAGTACTTGCAGTAGAGCGCATTCAGAATGATTCCAGTCAGAAATGGATCTATGCAAAAGTAAGTTTGCTCGTTTTATTTTGCTATAAAATGAGTCAACCCATTCTTGTTTAGTTACGACCCAGACAGCGGCCATGACAGCGGCGCTGAGGATAACATGGACTCGGCGCCGCCCTTCTGCTTCCTTACGATGGGGATGGGTAAAATATATCTGCCGCAACACAACCACCACCACCACAGCAGCCATGGGAACAGCAACCGAGACCCAATCACCAACGGCAACGGCCCCTCCTCTCCCGCAGGCCTCACCTACCCGCTGCCGCCCCGGCTCGGTGTGTGCCTCGACTTTGAGAAGGGTCGGGTCACCTTCTACGACGCTCACTCTTTGCGCCCACTGTGGGAGGGTCATGTCGATTGCTCTGGGCCCGTCTGCCCTGCTTTCTGCTTCATCGGCGGGGGGGCGTTGCAGCTGCAGGAGCTGGTTGCCAACCGGAATGCGGATCAGACTCCGGTGAGGCGGGTAACCATCCAACCCCGAGTCTCTAACCTGAACAACAACTGATCCTCGACTGGAGGCTGTAACTGTAATCTGGAATGTATTTGTGAAGTATTTACTCAGCTAGAGCGAAAATTTTAGACATCTCAGCGATTTTGTTAGGTCTTTTTATGTTCTTGGAAAGGAAGGTGTTTCTATTGCCACAAATATGCAATGTAATTATGTTTCTTACCTTTTGTTACATGCGGTTTTGCAAGATTTATTGCTTAAGTGGTGCCTGGTAAATCCAGCACTTGTTATGTAATTACATATAAATTTAGTGCTTGCATCTATAAAGCTAATGTAGATAAAGAGTTACACTTTTTTTTTCATGCAGAAGCTTTAATTGCTTTTTTAAATGTCTTTAACGCTTTCCATTTGCTTGATATATATGAATATTGCATAAAGCCTAAAATATATTATTGCATCTGAATTTTTAACTATTTAATTATTTTCTTCTAAGCCAAAGTTATTGTTTTTATGGGATTTAAATGTGGTAAAAAATTAAAGGTAGGAACCATGAGGCAAAACAGTAATTAGAGACGCCAATTACACCTCTGCTGCACAGTTAATCACCAGTCTCCACTCTTTTGTTTTGTGTGTTCTTGTTTCGTATTCGAACACATGTGTTTGATGTCGGTGTGTGTTTCTGTGTGTTATTTCACTGAGTGCATTAGAGCATATGGTTTGACTGATAACAGCTCTAAATGTTAGTGAGTCAAAAAGTTGTTTTCTCAAAAACACATTTTGTAAAATGTTTGCTTGGTTATAAATGGATGAGAAACGCCTCTAATGAAAACTGTAGCAGATTAACTTATTGTAAACGTCACCTGCTGGCAGAATGTTTGCTTAAAAACTAATTATGGGAATTAACATTGAATAAACTCCAACGGGTAAAATTACACTTTTTGCTTCCTTTGATTCTGTTTCACTGGTTTAAAATCAGCCTTTTTACAGTTTGGACTAATTATGTCACAGTTTTGCCACTAGGGGGCAGAAGAGCATAATATTTAGTCAGACTGGATCTGAAAATATGGCCAGAATTTTTATGTTTGAGAGGAATGAATAATGGAAATTAATGTTTGTCAGTGGATATTGGCAAACACGAGCATTTCCCACTTTTATTTTTACTTTGAATCTTCACAAATTTGCTGATGCATAATTTAAACATGTGACAAATTGAAAGAAAATGGAGAAACTTGAACTAATGCAGGTTAAAAAGCTGCAATGCTTGGTGCAGTGAAGCAATTAACATTCAGCTGTACTCTCTGTTGTGTATTAAAACATAAAGCAGGCCCAGTTAGTAATTTAAACTCTAATGAACAGCTGGTATTTCAATAGGAAGTGTCTAAAGGAAAAAAAAA